GCCTTCCCCCACCAACCCTTCAGTGCTACCTGTCCAAGGAAACCTGCACCGGGACGAGCCGCCCGCACAAGCTCCGCACCCGGAGGCCAGACTCAGCCGAGAGCGGCATGTTCCCAGCGTCCCCGGCCATGAGTCATGCTCCTCCTTGTGGGGCCACTCCGGTAAATATCTTCCGTGGCCACGTTGCGGCAATAGGGGGAAATCAGTGACAGCAACTCAGGCCCGTTACCTCCGCGGAGCAGCGTTGTGCAACAGGAAACAGGAGCCTTTCTCAACCTGCCCTCCGGCACAGGCCCCCTTCGCTCACGCTGGCCCCAGCACGGAGCTCGGCGTCCTCCGTGCACGACGCAGGAAGGGGAGAAACTAAAATACCAGGCCAGCGGGGCTGTGCCCTCCGGATCCTCCCTCAGGGCTGCTCAGCCCACCCCCTAGGGTCTCGCGCCTCCTTTCCCTGACGCGGCAGAACCCAAGGAGCCTTCTTGCCCCGGCAGGCAGGAGCAAGCGCAATTCGTTCGCCTGATATTTGGGTCAAGTGAAATGGTGCCGGCTCAGCTTTAGCCCCACGGAGGCCAAGTCAGCACACCTAGGGAGCCAGCCCTACTTTTTAACTGTGTGGGGCCCTGCCCTATAAAGCACATGCGAGCCCGAAAGCCAGAGGTGGGCTGAGCTGCTTGGGGTGTTTGGATCCGGGCGGGGGTTAGTTTGGCCACCTGCATGCTCAGTCTGTGTCCGAGAGAAACTCACCGAGATCCAGCCACGCTGGGAAATGGGTCACGCCAGGGGCTACACGGACCCACACTGAAATGCGCCCTCCCCCCCGGCCACGCCCCGCACAGACTCTCAGCAAGGGAAGCTACTCACCATCTTCCCCTTTAGCCAGATCTCTGGGGAAAACGGCCTCGTCATGAAAATTGGGGGAGGTACATTTTTCATTCCCCTTCCTCTAACCTGGACCTCCACTTTCTTTGTCCTTTTTGCCCCTTACTAAAGGGAAGAAGGCAGAGAAGGGGGGGGCATAAACCAAGCCCCCCGCTTTGTGCCTGTGGCCTGCCCTGGGAACAGCCAGGGCCCTGCGTGAATGGCAATGAGGAATGGAAAGCGCCCCAGCACGTTCCCATGCGACAGCCACCCCCAGCCACCGAAGTGGGGGCCCCCAGAGCTCCCCACTGTGCCCGGGAGGCTGTGCCAGACGCAGTCCGTCCACAGACCGGGCCAGCAGGGCTACACAACACACGCCCGCCAGCCGGTCACGTGTCACACCCGCTGGCTC